TATATGCACCTTTTCTATGCTATAGTATATATATACGAGTTTATTCTAACACGAACACACGCGATACCTGCTAGAGGTGTGTTAATAGCAATGCGATGTGCTTATTAAACCTCACGTTAAAACTCAGTTATAACTGCACGTAGTATATATGTCTCACCTGAAACTGCGTGATGCGACGTAGATGAAGATCGTATGTAAATCGTTGAGGGCTAGCACGAGAATTTCTACCTACATACACACCGCGACTATAGTACGTAAATAACAGGTTCTGCTTGTATTGTGCCACGAGAAACGAAAGCGAAGGAGAAATAGCTGCGGGCGTTTTATGCTGATGCCGAGACTTCGAAAAGTAATTAGTAAGTAGGCCACGTACCTGGAGCTCAAGGCAGTTCACTGTGTGGTCGAAAGTGACGGAACAAACTCATGGTCAGAATAGAATTGGACAGTAAGTTATATATCGTGGATGAAAAGTAGGGAATGGAGACCACATGTAGGCCTACTGACTTAGTATAGTATGTATGACTTTATATACTGACTTAGTTTGTAACAGTATTGAACATTATACCGGAGATCACGGTATGGGCCTACTATTTATCTGTATTACGAAATTTCAGATAAGAAACTTCCTGGACCTACCGCGGTGCTGGTTGCGCCTGTTGGCATAGCAACTGGTTGTTACGACTTGTTAATATGCGTCACTGTCATGTTTTTGTTTTTTAAGTATGTTGAGCGATCGCGGTACAATATACCCGTCGGTCTCAATGACTCGCGACAAGCGGGCCAATCACAAATCTTTTGTGATACTACTTGCGTTCCCAGCCTCTGGCTTTCAATAACTTTTGATATTATTGATTTATTGATAGACTTGCCTTAACAGGTAATTTGCATCATGTTTGACTTGCTAATGCTTGTAACAGATGCAATTAGAAAAGCAATGTGTAAAGATATAAACGGCCCAATCCTATTAGGAAAATCTAATCATATATGTACTGTAGATAGGCGACTACGGCAAGATATTAAAAAATGATATTCTCAGGAGTAGTGCAATATAAAAGATCTAGATCACATGAACTTCCGTAAACCATACCAGGGAGTCCAATCTTCTAACCCTATTCATTTTGTTATTTGCCGTTAGTCGGCGCTAGTGTTGCCGCACGCGAAGTAGTGTGTGATGATATCAAGCGGAACCTAATGCATTTATGACGTCAATAAAATAAAATATATTGAGATAGCAGATGCATATTAGAGAGCAGTTAAATACAAGAAGCCATGCCCACTTTATAAATTATAATGTTGTTATGATTGTATAGATTATACGGCCAAACATACATTAATTTCGTCTCTTCACTCAAAATAAGATGTGATGTGGTACAATGTTTGTACTATGTATTACAAAATCATATAAATGACACGATAGATAAACAAATATAGTAACTTTGTAGCTTTACTGCGTTTATTAACTTTAAACGACCAGTTTACAAAAACGATAAGAGATGGCGTCTATAGAGATGTCGGCATCGTATTTATACATCAGACTGTAACTTTCATGCGCTCTGATTCAGATCTCAATTATAATACTTCTAATAATAATAATAATAAAGACACATAATCGTTTAAAAAATGTAGTATACTCTATCATATCAAGTATATTAATCTTTTAGATAACATCACATGGCTCAATGGACCAATCCCCCAACGTGGTACATAATCTGTACTCCTCCCAAAGATTTACGTTGTTTTCACCTAAGATTTCTACGGCTGCTCCAATCGCACCATCAATAATAACGTATAAGAAAGATTCGCCCTGATTTCCGAAATACTATAATCAATAAATATTATCATGATCTGCTGATCATCTTCGAGCATTCGTCAATATCACATTCGTTACTATCGTTAAACATTTGCAATGCTCGTAGTTAATTCTAAGGTCTCATGTTGAGTTCGAGGTTTGTTCTTCATCGTTCATCGCTGGCTTCATCTAATCATACTAGCTGGATGGAATACGCATTGAAGATGGCGTCCACAGTCGTCTGAGATTCGATGGATGCTTATCTCGCACGTGGTGTTCTGAACATGAAGAGATTACATTAGGTTCGTACGTGTTTAATATAGGTTCGTACGTGTTTAATATAAGTTCGTACATGTTTAATATAGGTTCGTACGTGTTTAATATAAGTTCGTACGTGTTTAATATAGGTACGTACGAGTTTAATATAGGTTAGTGTGCGTTTAATATAGGTTCGTACATGTTTAATAATTATGGGTTAGTACGTGTTTAATATAGGTTCGTACGTGTTTAATATAAGTTTGTACGTGTTTAATATAGGTTCGTACATGTTTAATATAGGTTAGTGTGCGTTTAATATAAGTTCCTACGCGTTTGATATAGCTACTACGAGTTTAATATAAGTTCGTACATGTTTAATATAGGTTCGTACGTGTTTAATATAGGTTCGTACGTGTTTAATATAGGTTCGTACGTGTTTAATATAGGTTCGTACGTGTTTAATATAGGTTTGTACGTGTTTAA